GTGGAGGTCATCGAAGTATCGTGACCCTTCAGGAGTCCCTGAGCCCCCGCTCCAGCCAGGCCAGGTATAATATATATTATATATAACACACAGAAAGGTAAATGGTTTTACTGCATTTTTATCAAGAAGTAAATATTTCGATTTTTTTATTTATTTAAGATAGTGATCTGGCAACTGTGCGGGGCGGTCCTCAAGCTCTGTTTTTACTGTCTGGTATTTAAACTGAAACAGGTTTCTAAGCAATATGAGGCCACCTTCAACCCCAAGCTGGGTTGACAGGCCCGGGCCCCTCTTCGCCCCTCCCCTCTGGAAATATTACTGACCTTGCAAAGAGCTGCCCAGCTTTCCTGCACTTTTTACATAAGAAGGGGGGAGGGGAGGGAGGAAAAAAAAACCCTTATTTGCCACAAACTGAGCCGCAGATCCTTTGCCCTTTCCTTTCCTTCCTCTCCTGGTCTCTCCTCTCCCGTCTCTCATGTCTGGGCTCTGTAGCAAAGCCATAGGTAGGGGAGAGGGAGACCCTAGTGTCCCTGAAGAAGGCCCCACCAGCAGCCCCACCCCACCTCAAGTCTTAGTGGCATAGGGGTACCCTCTCTGCTGGTCCATCACCCCAGGGCTGTTCCTTGGCAGGTGTTGGTGGGCACTGGGCCCCATGGACCAGAGTTTTCAGGGAGACTTGAACAAGGAGGTGGGTTCCTGGAAGCCAGATGAGGTAGCCCCCAAGGCAAGGATGGAGTAGACGAAAGAGCTCACACTCCTGCGAGAGTGAGGTCCAGTTCCTCAAAGGGGCCCAGGAGGCCATTCGGAGGATTCTCTCTTTCCTTTGCAGGTGCTGTTGCCCCGTGGGAAGCCCAAGAGACTCCCCAGCATGGACTGGGGAAGTGTCCAATGCTGGTGGGGGGAGCTAGGCTAGCTAGGGCTGGCAGGGGCTAGCTCTGCTGGTCAGAGGGGAGCTCTGAGTCCAGTATAAATGGGAGTAGATCCAAGCTTTCATTCTGGGCTCTTCCTGCCCCTGGCAGGACTTGGAATTCAGGTGCACCTCCAGGTCGAGTGGCCTCTGGATCAAGGCTCCTTACAAATGGAGTAAAGCACCTACCAAGCCCTTGGGCTTCCAGGAAGTGGGAATCCTCAGCTTTGAGAGAACTATCATCTCCAAGCAGAGAGAGACCCCATCTAGGGACAGAGATACTGGGGAAGTCCTCAGTGACTGCCCCATCCCCACAGGGGCTTCTCAGAAGAGAGTCCCTTTGTGTGCTCCCTTCCCAGGGTACTTCCCAGTGTTTTCAAGATGATATGCTAGCCTCCACCCAAGGTGGCTTTTTTTTTTTTTTTTTTGAACTTGGCTCAGAGCCAATCTAGGAGCAAGGACAGGAGAAAAGTACTAGCCATCCTTGCTGAATATCCTCTTGGACCATTTGGGACCCAAAGTTTTTAGGAAGAATAGGGCTCCTTGCCCTCAGATGTCTAGGAGTGAACTGTCCTCTTAGAAAGAAGCCAGGGGCTTGGTACCAGGCAGCTGGGGTAGGACAGAGTCCTGGAGAAGACCTAAGGAAGCACCTTTCTGCCCCACCTCCCTTGCTGTGTCCTTCTGTTTGTTCTTCTTTTGACCTACTGCCCTGTGTTTCTGTCATCCTCCTTCTTAAGCAAAAGTCCTGTTCCAGTTCTCTTGACCCCACCCATCCTGATCCCTGAGAAAATAAGCTATTGTTGTATTTGCAATCTATGGATTAGAGGTTTAAGTATTTATTATTATTATTGGTTAATTATTATTATTATTATTATTAATTATGTAAATTTGCCTCCTGTCTGTCATTGGATTTCTAAGGTGACCCTGGGTGTGGAGGATGCACTGGCTTCCCCTTCCTTGCCCCCACCCAGCTGCTGTCCAGGAGACAGTAGTATGTGGCCACCATTTGGACCCTAAAGATCCCCCTTGGGTCTGGTCCCTCACCTCTCTTGGTGGAGGTATGGCATCTATCCTGGACACATGGGGCCCATTAACCTCAGTCTGTCTCTGTTCTCACTCACTCATGACCTTGGTCATCTCAAAAGTGAGAAGACAAGATGGAGGAGAAGGTCCCAGCTGCCTGCTCCTGTGCAGGGTAGGGAGAGATGGAGCACAGGCCTTCCCTGGTGGCTTTTCACCTACTGTCCCAGGTGTGGAGGGTATAGGGTCCTCTCTGAGCCTCTCACTCTCTCACTCCTCCTACTGGTCACTGCCTGGCACTGGAATGACCCAGAATGCGCCTGGCCCCCTCCTGTTGTTTTCTGGAAAGTCCAGTATAGGAGAGGAGGCTGGTCCCTTGCCCAAGGCTTCTGGTCCCGGAGGACCAGGATGCCAGCTTCCTCCTTGGGACCTTGCCCCACGAGGCCGCACTTTCCCATCCCTCCTTTTGTATTTGAAACAATGTGTTGTAATAAATCATGAGAACGATGTTTTCCCCAGGCCTCTGCTGCCTCTTTCTTAGGGCTGGTTGTGGGTGAGGTTGGGCACTGGGGGACAGTCTGAGGGCTCCTTGAGACAAGGGCCTGGTAGGTTGTGCCTGCAAAGCTCACTTGCTAAGTGAGCAGAGAGAAGAGTCTGAGATTTATTCTTGGTAGGCCAGGAATAGAGGAGGGGGATAGAACCTGGAATGCATTCCCAGGATGTAAAATATCCACTTTTTTAAAAAATCTAGTCTTAAAATAACTGAAAACTAGGTAACTTTCAATATCAGTTTGCAGGCTGGGGAGATGCTTCTGTCAGTACGGTATTTGTTGGGCAAGCATGAGTGCCTGAGTTGGATCACCAGAGTCAGGTATGGCGGCATGCACTTGTAATCTCAGTGCCAGGAGGCAAACACAGAAGGACCTTGATGCTTCCTGGCCAGCCAACCTAGCCTACTTGGTGCCCCAGGCCAACGTGTATGTGTCTCAGAACACAAGTTGGATGGCTTCTGAGGAATGATACCTGAGGTTTACCTCTGACCTCTACACACATGCACATGTAAACCACATAGATGTGCACACATGAGAGCTCAAGGTTCACTTGTCAACCCTCCTCATAACACAATCCTCCTGTAAACAGCTCATGTACTCCAGGCTTGTCTTTTCACATACACATACCTCGCCACTGTATTTCCAACAGACTCGGGGTTTACAAGTAATTCTTGTATGTGACATGAGCACCAAAAGCTCATGACTTCTGAAGCATACATATTAAAACTGAAACAATGTGGAGGAGAAGATCAGCATGGCCCTGTGCAAGGGTGATACATAGATTCATGATGAATTCCATATTTTTGAGACCCTCTGGTACATCTACCAACTCTCATCCCCACCACAGATCTTTTGATTGGACAATTTCTGATGTCTTCATTTTTTTTTTTTTTTTTGTTTTTTTGAGACAGGGTTTCTCTGTGTAGCGTTGGAGCCTATCCTGGCACTCGCTCTGTAGACCAGGCGGGCCTTGAACTCACAGAGATCCTCTTGCCTCTGCCTCCCGCGTGCTGGGATTAAAGGCGTGCGCCTCCAGCGCCCAGTGCTTGATTTTTTTTTTTTTTAACAAAACAATCTTTTTTTTTTTTGAAAGGGAAGGTGGCGGGGCGGGGGTGGCGCACGTCTTTAATTCCACCACTTGGGAGGCAGAGGCAGGCAGATCTCTGTGAATTCGAGGCCAGCCTGGTCTACAAAGCAAGTTCCAGGATAGGCTCCAAAGCTACACAGAGAAACCCTGTCTCAAAAAAACAAAAAAAAAAAAAAATTAAGCAAAAGCATACTAGAGTGCCTGGTGTGAGCCCATCCTTGTCTCCAGACACAGGGCTCCTCTGTCTGAACAAACTACCCTACACCAGTGCAGACCAGCCAGTGCCCAGGTTTACCTATCATGTGTTGTTACAAGTCGTGTGGCTGTGAGCATCCATGTACCATTCCACAGAACAGACTTCCAGATGTGCCTTTTCCGAGTCACTTCAACATTTGGTTCTCATCTTAACAGTCTGTGTGTGGACTACCTTTGATGCCTTATGGGAATTCCTAAGTGGACTTCTTGGGGGATCTTAATTCTCATCCCTGCCCCTGGCTAATGCACCATTCTCCAGATTTGTCCATCCTGTTCAAGAGACCCTTTGTGTTTTCATGCAGACAGTGACATTGGCCACTCATGTGAGTAGAAGGGTGGGTGTGTGTGTGTGTGTGTGTGTGTGTGTGTGTGTGTGTGTGTGTGTGTAGGCCAGAATATAGAGGAGGGAAGAGGATGTGGCTAGCCCCTCTTTCAGCAGATCTTGAATTCTGCATCCTCAAGAGCCCTCAAAGAAGCTGAAAGCCAGCAGCATAGTCTGCCTCTAGCAAGGCTATTTTTAGCTCAAGAACATCTATTTATATCCCTGGCAGCCCCTAGGAGTCAATAAAACCAAGGACTGGAAAAAGCTGATGGTTGTCTCAAGCAGGCCGGCACTCCTTCCACCCTCAGTGCACATGAACACCTGCAATTGCAAAAGGTGAGTGACCGCACTTCTGGGAGGCCAGCTGGGAGCACTGGCCTCCAGATCCTGGAGACAGTATAAGATTCCACATGGGAGTGAAGGAGGTGCCATTTACCAACTCATCCAGACTTCTAGAGGTCATCTCGGCCAAGGACTGCACAAGAGTGGACTATGCTGAGCTGGCCCTCTGTTCAATTCCTATACTGTCATACCTAGATACACAGCTTCCCCTAAAGACCTGACCCCATCTTGCACCTCTCTCCCCAGCCTAAGTCAGCCAAGAGCTGTTGATAGTAGTGAGAATGGCAATGAGAGAGAGAGAGAGAGAGAGAGAGAGAGAGAGAGAGAGAGAGAGAGAGAGAGAGAAAGAGAGAGAGAGAGGGCAGACAGAGGGAGTGTGTGTATTTGTGTATGTGCACATGCATGTGTGTCTTTGGAGACAGGGTATGACACATAGCCAAGATAACCTCAAGACTAGCCTCAGACAAAGGGTAGAACAGATGGGAAGGTGGGAGAATAAAGGAATAGAATGGATAGGTGATGAATAAGAAGGGTGGAAGGGAGGATCAGTGGATGGATTGATGGAAGGGTGGGTGAGTGGGTGGATGGATGGATGGATGAATGAATGAATGAATGAATGAATGAATGAATAGATAGGCAGGTGGTTGAGTGGATAAGAAGTGAATGGATGGCTTAAAGAGAGAGGGAGGGTGAAAGTGTGCATAGGTAAATAATGTTCTATTGTGACAGAGCTCTTTTTTGTTTTATTTTGTTTTGTTTTTCGAGACAGGGTTTCTCTGTGTAGCTTTGGAGCCTATCCTGGCACTCGCTCTGGGATTAAAGGTGTTCACCACCAACAGCCGGTACAACAGAGTTCTTACATCTTATATTAAAGGCATGTGTTCAGCCATGCCTTGATGTGGGAGGTCTTTCTGTATGCTGCAAATATGTGTTGTTTTTATTGGTGGATGAATAAAGCTGTTTCTGCCAATGGCTTAGGATTATTATTGGCTAACTCTCTCTTAAATATTAACTCATTTCTATGAATCTGTGTATCACCATGTGGCTGAGCTTACTGGTGATGCCCTGGTATCTTGCATCCCCAGCAGCTACATGGCGTCTCCTTGACTCTGTCTTCTCTCTGTCCTTTTGTTTGGATTTCCCACCTAGCCAAATTCTGCCTGTCCATTGGCTGAAACAGCTTTATTCATCCACCAATAAAAGCAACACATATTTGCAGCATACAGAAGCCCTCTCACAACATCTCCCCTTTTCTGTCTAAATAAAAAGGAAGGTTTTAACTTTAACATAGTAAAATTATATGTAACAAAACAGTTATCAAGCAAGAATTATAGTTACAATATGAGTCCATTTATATTTGGCAAAAATTTAAAGAAAATATTCTATCATCTATCCTATCTTTGTGAGTCTAAAGTTTTATATCTAATTTATCTTTTGTCATAACTAAGGAAAACTATAATTATAACTATCAAGTCCTCAATTCCATCAAAGACCCCAGAAGGATATAATATTAGCTACATAAACAGGAAGTGCATTGTAAACAACTTCCAAAACTCTAGAATTGACAGTTGCCTGGACAGTCTTGCTGCCTGGACAGTCACCCAAAGTTCCTCTGCAACGTTGGGGCATCCATCTTCAGCCCACAGGTCCATAGGATCTGGCAGACCTTTTAATGAAGCAGGAAATTTGAAGATCTGTTCTGCCTTGTGCTAGCAAAGTTTGTCAGTTGCTTTCTTCTGTGTTCTGTAGAATGTCTGGCAGATTCCTCTGTGAAGCAGGAACCCTTGAAGGACCATCCCATCTTGTCTTGGCAAGTTCAGCAGTCATTTTTCTGTGGATCCTGCACATCCAGTTCACACAGCATATAGTCAAGCAGTTCAGGCAAGAGCAGTTTCCTGCCCAAATGGCTAGCCCTGCTACACTGGAGGCACACTCTGTAACAAGTTTTTTCGATGCCCATCATCCTCTCTGACATAATTGGTGCTGCCAGGAGCAGATGTGACTCATGTCAACAGAATTCTAAATTACTGAAACATTTAAATGCCGTGTTCTGTAGGTCTTATTTATACAAAAAGGGGGAATTGTTGTGGGAACTCATTCAACCAATAGCTTTTGAGGTACCAGTCCCTTCTATGTGTGGTCTCAGCTGCTATGTGTCGTAGTCAGAGATCTGATCACAGTTTCCTGTGCCCCCAGGGCAGAAGACTGAGGTGGCTCTCTACCTTTATTGTGTGACTATTCCCCAAATAAATATTTGATATCCTTCTATTAGGACTTTTGCGGGCTCTCTTATTCATGCCTGCAATTCATGGTGGCCCAAGTCTGTAATCCTAACACTCAGCTGAGGCAAGAGGAGGATTGAGAGTGCAAGGCCAGTCTGAGCTACATGAAATCTATGTCTTAAAAGCAATCAAATAGGGGTCAGGGAGATGGGTCAACAAGTTAGGGCACTTGCTGTCAAACCTATTGATCCCAGTTCAATATCTGGGACCCACATGGTGGAAGGAAAAAAAATCAACTCCCATAGGTTGTCTTCTAAATTCCACATGCAAGTTGTGGCATCGATATGCCCACAAATATGCAGATGCATGGTCATATACATAATAAGTAAATGTGAAAAAAACCCAAGCAAATGGCAATAATAATAACGAAGGTGTGTGATTCTCCCCATTCTACATTGTGCTATAGACAGGCACTAACCTTAAACTTAGAGGGCACCCAGCGAATGTCCTCTGAATAAGCCACACATTAGAAGTTCTAAGGCTGCATACCGCCATAGGGCCCAATTTCTCTCCTGGGCCCAGAGAGAGGAACAGTTTTGTCCAATGTCCCTCAGCAAGTCAGAGGCAAAATGGGCTGGACTAGGCTCCCCATTTGCTCCATTGTCATTCCTTGAAAGACTGTGAAAAAATCCCTGAAGATGTCCTAGGAGGCTGTTGTCAGTGGTCTTATGTGACCTGTGCTGTCCTGGGTGGATTTGTTAGAGCATGTCTCTGCTCAGGACTGGAAGGACTTGGAGAGTGATTCGGGAAGTCAGTTCCCAGGAGGGCATCTGCTTCCAAAGGCTGGGAGAAGCTGGGGGCATGTATAGGTAGGGGGCATTGCAGAGGGTCACCAGGCAGGAGCAATGCATAGGATAGACAGCTAGGAGCCATAGAGATGCTGGAGACCTCTGTCCAGGCAGGGTGCTCAGGAGATGGATTGAACCTACCTGGCTCTGAAGAGCAAATGGGGTGTCGAGTACAGAGGATTCTGCAGAAAGGTAGCTCATCTCAGGATGGTGGCAGGGGGTTGGGACCAAGCCCTGCAGAGAAATCAAATCCTATCTAGAAGTGAAAGCAAAACCAGGGAGGCAGAGAACAGCTAAGGCCCACTCCAGGCCCCAGAGCATTGGTCTCTAGATGTAAGGTACTTTCTGGAAATAGAAGCAGGTACCTTGAAATGAAGATATCTTTATGAAGGGATTGGGCCTCCCTGTGGATCAGGAGGAGAACCAGTCTTGCCCAAAGAAGAGGGAGAGAGGAGGCTATCTGGGCCAATTTCCAAAACTGTCCTGAAGGGTTGGGGGGGGCATAAAAGTGCTCTCTCTTCTGCTACCCCCTGCTCAGGCCACAGAGAAGGATGCTGCAAAGGACAGGCTTAGGCCAAAGACCAGACAGATGTCTGGTGAGCTCTCTCCAGGTTTTCCAAGTAAGACAAGGCTTGTCTGGCTTTAACATCTGCCAATGCACCCCTTCCCTCTCCAGGAGCGCCTGCAAATAGAGGTGATCCTAGAAAGGGGAGGGTCTAAGGCAGAGGA